GCAAGCGCGAGATTGCAAAAATTCCTTTATCGCGGCGCGGGAATGAAATTCGCCGGTGCGCCCTGCGTATTGTTTCCGCCACTTATTTTTACGCTTTCTCTCTATATGTGCTCCTCCCCCTCTCTCTCTCTCTCTCTCCCTCTTCCTCTCCCTCTCCCTCTCCCTCTCTCTCTCTCTCTCTCTCTCTCACCTTTTTCTGATTCATGAACCGTCACGATACGTTAAAAATCAAGGATGAGACAAACGTAGAATCGGAGTGGAGGTGGAACGAATCTGTTGTACATGTTCCAAGTTGATACACATCTTCCTCTCTGGCGGTATAGCGTGCACGGGAAGTTCATTATTCGCGCGCGAATCCCGTATCGATTCGCGCGCGGACCTTCGTGCGGCGCCAATCTGTCGCCAAAAATCAGCCTATCGATTATTATCAGACCTGCTTTCGCATATCGTATGCGTTCCGCGATAATCGCCGCTGTGTTGAAAGTGACGAAAGATCGCGTCGGCAGAACGAAAGAGAGAGAGAGAGAGAGAGAGAGAGAGAGAGAGAGAGAGAGAGAGGGAGAGAAAGAGAAAAAGAGAAAGGGAGGCAGCGATTCGTTATTGCTATGTAATAATAAGAATAATAATGATAATAACAGCCACACAGAGCCAGTCGCGACGTTAGCCGAGTCTACTCTCGCGAGACGAGAACTCGACCGCTTTGCACGACACAACGGTACCGCCGAGGAGACACGACCACGCTCGAAAACAACAAAGCAGACTGTCATCTCTATCGGATACTACGCACAGTCAAGGTCACGGATGTGTCTTTGACTCACACGAGAGCTGTTATTACCGCTTATTGACACGAGAGCTTGTCCTGTCTCGGAAGAGCGGACGCTTTCAAACGCCTGTTCTTACAACGGTCTTTCGCGTTTGCTCTCTCTCTCTCTGTCGACACCGGCACAGCGCGAAATCGTGCGGAATCCCGAGAAAAACCGCAAGCCCGTGACTCGAGCATAACGAGACACAATGTCTGGCGGAAATGTAATCCCGAAATTCGGGCCCCGAGATAATGTCTCGAATCTATCTCAACACGTCGGGAAGCGGCACGCTATTGCTCCTCGAAATCTCGACACAAAGAAAACCGCGTGGCGCGGACAGCCTTGGCGAAATGTCGGAGGATTTGTGGATATCCTGTTCAAAAAGTCTAAAATCGCAGATAAATATTTGGGCTTTTTCAGGACTCCATATATTGCCAGGTATCTGACGAGATGTTTCGTAAGATTTAGCAATTTTATTGTGCTTGAACACATTGTTTCTTTGTATCGATTTCGACATGACACTTGGCGTTCCGTCACGTTTTCATCTCCAAGGCCCGTAAATTACTAGTCGTTTTTTAATTCTGCCCTAAATGAGATACTCAGATCTGAATTCAAAATTAGACTCGAGTTTTCTATCTGAATTATATAATATACGCAACATCACATTTTTCATCGCAATTCAGCTTAAAAAACCTCAAATCTGATTAAATTAAAATATCTCAGCTGAGATAATCTTCATGTTATGACTAACAATACGGGTCTCAGTTTCCAATGTGCCGGGAAAGTCGTATTTCGTGACGTTGTCTGGGGATTCGGGTTTCGAAAGGTGATGACCTTTCGGGATATTATTCCGCTCGAGTTTCAGCATATTTTTTTTCCACGTCTATCGACAATCGCGTTTGTTAAAAAAAAAAAAAAAAAGATGGAGAGAGGAGAAACGTGTTCTCGCGCTTTTTTCCAATTATACCACACGCGGTTCCCGTCAGGAAATGCAAAAGTTTCGACTTCGAAATTCCGAGCATGAGAATAATGAGAGGAACGGCTCGACGAGTCGTGAGCTCGCTGCTTGCTGCCAATTCGCGATGTCATTACGGTGCTTTTCGCGAAAATGACGGGACGAGGCTGAGAGCGGCGCGGCGCGACGCAACACGCTGAAGCCTAATTACGACGTAATGCCAAATGCTTCGCGAGTAATAACTTCAGCGAAGGCGGCGTTCGCACGACGCGAGATGCGTGCCAGACGCGCGTCACGACAAAAGGGTTACTCACGTAAACCACCGTGTTATGAAACACCATCATTTGCAACCGTACAAACGACGTAACGACGAGCGGATAAAAGTTTTCAACGACGCCAGCACAGTCGTGCACCTTTCGTTCGCAGGCAGCACGAAACTTCGACGCGTACGAAGCAACAAATGTGACAGCGAGAAAGCACACACCCGCCTCTATTGCGCGGCGGTTACGGAACACACACACACACACACACTCACACACACACACACACACACACACACACACACACACACACACACACACACGCACACTAAACACGCCGTCGTCACTCTCTTCGCCGGCGATGCCTCCTTAACTCACACGTATACGAAACAAGCTGCAAAGAAGGATCCCCTCGCGAGAGCAAATTACATCTCGGCGGAAGTCACATCCTCTTCCGCGAAAGGTGCACAAAGCTACTGCTCTAATGTGCCGCAAATCTCCCGAGAGATCCCAGCCCGATGTTCGCGTGCGAACGGTAAGCCGCGTCGCGCTGCCGCTCCTAAGTGAGGCGCAGTGACCAGGAGGAAGACGCCGGAAGGATGTCCAACGCACGCGTTTCTCTTGCCACGCGTCGCGCAAAAAAATCCGCGAGGAACGACCCTGCGTGGACGCGGCGAGACGACAGATGAGACACACGTACCTAACGCAACGGATATCAGTCGCACTGGGCGCGCGCGCTTCGAGCACCTCGAAGAGACCCGCAGCTGATGAGAGACACCAGCGAACTGAGCCCGCGCGCGAGTGAAAGGCGGCGGAGCAGCGGGTTGGCGGCAGTGATGGCAGCAGCAGCAGCAGCAACAGCAACGTCAGCGACACTCGGGGTGCGGGAGGGCAAGCCAGTGCGAAGCCCTCTACTACTGCTGCTGCTACTACTACCACTACTACCATCACCACCACCACCACCACTACCTTCACCACTACCACCGCTGCTACCGATATCGCCGGCGTCACCAGCATCTAGCTGGCACACTACCACTACTATCGTCGCCACCTCCAGCGGGGGGAACATGATCCTGGACTTATCGCCCGGGTGCGCGCATCCTAGACCGCGCTTTGTCTCTTTCCCTTTTTCTCCTAAGAGGCTCGTCTATAACGCTCGTGTGCGCGCGCGCGCGCACACGGACGCGAGCGGCGTAGTGAATGCTCCGATACTTTCTATGACGTCACGCGGAAGAATGCGAGGGCGGCTCTGAATGGAGATCGTAGAGGGTAAATTCGATTCGCCCTCCCTCTCTCGGGTTACAGAATGTTCCAGAGATACCGGGTGTACCTTTGATCTCTAATTGCTCGCGGGGCTTGCGCTTTTTCGTGCAAGAATTATTCGCGGTGGAGCGCAAGGTGGGACAATATGATATGCATTCACCGGAACGTGGACACGTCTTGTTGCGAGACACACCCGCGGGGCGGGGACTTTCTATGGGAATCCTTTGGTCCTTCGCGTAAAAGCACCTGGGAGTAAAACAGAATGCTCCCGCCGGGAGTTCTCCGGCGTGAAATTAATTAAATATACAGTATTAAATGTACTCGGAGTAGCGCACCTGAAGCCCACGTAAGCCCTGACGGCAGCGAAACAACGCACAATTATTTGCTCATTGCACAATACGAGAGGGAATGGGGGTAAGTTGGTGTATTAAATCCGAGCAATTTGAGGAAAGGTAGAGAGACCCGATACAGAACGAAAGTTGCTTCAGTTACTGAATTACCAAGTAAGCTCGGACCTGGGCACAGTCTCGCCGTTTCTTGCACGTCCGGAACACCCGGTGTGCACAGTAGGGGTGGCTACGTGATATGGACGAGATGAGGGTAGAGAGCGCGTCATAGGTATATATATACATATATATATTTCTGGACGCCCACGCTTGTGCCGGGTAGGGAGAGACATAAAGAGAGAGAGAAACAGCTTGGACCGACGAAGAGGAGGCGACGACGGCGACTCACTAAGTGCTATCGATTTTGCCGACACCCGCAGTCGTCGACTCACGTCAAACCTGGTCGGAATGGCGTTTACGCATTCGCTCGCGCCCGCGCATCGCGAATATTTCGTCGG